TTATATATATATATATATATATATATATATATATATATATATATATATATATATATAAGGATTAGGGAGGAGTTCTGTAAGCCCCATCGGGGCTATCATGGAGGTATGGCTAGCCTTTGGCACTGTACACTGTGTAGGTACTGAGACGTTTTTGTTTTACCCTGTCCATTGTTAGCTTATATCCTCTTCAATTTTACTTACAAGATTTCGACACCCTGTTTGTTGGATATTGTGGAAATTTTGTTTGGACGTAGCTTTAAAATTATAATGCAAATTTTCTGTCGGATTACCGACAGATTTATCATTATGATTTTGGAGTTTTCCCGACAGTTGGAACTTAAATTTGAAGTTATAGATCTTTATATGGAATGCGGCAGTTCAAAGAAGCGAAGATGCAACATTATCAAGTTTGAAAGATGCTGTGCCGCATGTATCAGTTAACTCGGTGATTCTAAATTTTTGAGGATGCTGATGTTCAACATTTCTGGACATCAACTGTGTTAGTGTTTATTTTTCCCCAATAATTTTTAGTCATCTTAATACATAATAAAAAAGTACGCATGTGAGTTACCTTTTCTCGTGTTCCGTTTCTTTTTATATATCAGACTAGTGACACTGAGAAGATAAAGGCGTGTGAGATGTCATATTAATTTCCATTTTTTTAAAACCCTTACCAGGTTAAATTGATAAATTGTGTGCTTGAGCAATCGTTTGAGTATGAAAGTTGCTGTGAAATTTTGATGAAATGGTCACAAAGAAGAGGTTTGTAAGTATGTCCAATTAAAGTAAGATCTTAGCAATTTTCTACAGCAACTACCTGCCTATATCAGTTTTGAAGTTTAAATCTTACTGTTTTTATTCTGATTTGCGTTACCGCTATTGCTATTCTTTCGTTATTCTTCACTGCGAATTTTTTTTACAGAATTGGCATCAGCAATGTAATGGCTTGTCGTTTTGACAGTAATGTCATCAAAATATTTGTAAGAACTTTAGGTACGGGTAAGATCGGATGAAATATCTCGTACTCTGTAACAGTTTGATCAATGCTGGATTAATCAAACTGAGTACATTTGGTGATTCGAGTTTCCTTGTGGTTCAGATGAAAAACGTCAGGGAACACTCCATCGCATATATGTTGCACCGTGTCGATTTTGATGTTTACCCAAGTTGTTTGAGTTTTCAGACTTCCAAAATTTGCCGTGGTTTTATTGGAAGATAAAGTTTTAATCACTAATTCCGTGTCAGAGTGAAATTATTTGTATTCAGAATATCTTCTGGAGAATTACTCCATACTTTGCCGGAAAGTTTATTCCTAAAACTGCTTATTCTTACAGTTTGTTCTTACAATATGGTAGCATTTAAACTATTATGAACAGTTTATGCTCACACAGTACGTATATATATATATATATGTATATATATATCTATTGTGAAATAAACACTAATGTGAACAGACTTCTTTATAATATCTGATGTAATTTAATAATGTAATATAATAATCTAATTTATTACATCTAAAAAAAATAATATGCATTCCTTTATGCTCAGAGGTTATATGTATAAAACCTCTGGACATTAAGGGACGCTACCTATTGGGTTTTATTCAATTGTATTTGATGTCAAATTTAAGGCCCATACAGTAGCCACTCCATATAATATTTACGGATGCATTCATCAGCTTTCACTTTGCGTGGTTATGCAAAAATGATATTGCATGCTTATAAATATCCACATCGGCCAGTTGTTGGTTTTCTTATCGGAAAAACCAGGGTAATGGAAATTTTTGAAATGTTTGTAAATGTTATTTTATTGGTTGTGCGTTCTAGACATTTAAAAACCGTCGAATGTTGGATTTAATTTGCCATTTTGACATTGTTTTAACGCATTTTACGAAACCATTACTAATATTAAGTTTAGAATTTTTTAAACTCTTTCTGCTCTTTTTTCTATGTCTTTGTTTTATCTGATTGACAACATATAACTTCCTTTTTTCATACTGTTGGACAACAGTAAGTTTATTTCGGTACGGATTTATTTTTTGTTTTTCTCTAATGGCGTTGATATGAGGCATTGGAAAAGTTAAAATTTATGACGCTGAAGTGACTTTTCAGACTGCGATAGTTGACGAATTAGTTAATTAATACGGATGGTGAGACTTTATATTGAGTGGAACTCTGTGTCAAATTTTTCCAGAATAACAGCGAATTGATATGCACTGACGCTATACCCGTGCTACATGAAAGCGCTTCTTTGAGTATGGCTTTAGAAGCGGCTTTGATATGTACAGATAATTGCACCAAAGGTGGTCATGCGCTCATTGGACTGTATTTTTGCAATCAGTTTCTTGCAGACAATAGGTAAGCGTAAATTTTTGTTAGAAAACGTTAGGTCCAGAGAAGTCGTATTTTTTCATCTTTCTTTAAATTTTAATCTTGTTGTACGGAATTATTTAAGTCTGACTTTCAAAGATCCGTTTCAGTCTCGATCCCCATGCAATGCGAGTAGCTGAAAAAATTGTTTCGAATTATCCGAACACATTCCTCGTTCAAGTGATTTTCTTTTTTTTTTTTCGGGAACCCATTATTATGACAATTAATAAGAAAGCGAAATGGTTCTCTTCATCGCCAAAACCATCGAGCATATTTATGTATTCCATTTCCAGATGATGGCACACCTGCACATAAGCTTGTTGAGATGGCTATGTTATCGCTTAATAGCGTTGTAGGCAGTAAATAAGGTCAATAGTATATAAGCGCTTTTTTTCTCTTCACATAGTAGGATTTTTTCGTCTCCATTCTCATTTGCACGTATGGTCTTGTGTCGGTCCTTCTAAGATACAGTATTTGCCGCTAAATTTTCGCATCTGCTCTTTGATTATGCAATGATTATTGGTACGGTAGGTTATTTTTGTATAATAAATTATATGGTCTTTTGTGTTGAAATATTTCTAACAAAGTAATTTGTTTAAGAGGATCTACAAAAGGCATTCAAAAAACTAAATGATATTTCAAACGTGTATTGCAGATCGATAACTCCCTTCTTAGTGCAGGATTATTAGAACCTGCTATTCGAGTTTACACTTTGGATAGCAAATTATGGAAATCAAAAAGGTGTTTTTATTGTACTTCTCTCAAGCGGATATAAATGTTTCTTTGATAGTTAAGCTCTAAAGTTAACTTAATATTGCACTGTGGATTATGTATGCCACTTCCTCTCTGTTATGCATATAATGTAATAATTCCAGATTCACTATACTGAATGAGGAAACAGTGTTACCAATCGTTTCCAGTGCCGTACAGATGAAATTATACCTCGAAATAATGGATTTTGAAAATCATTTAGATAATCCTGTTAATGACCACTGGAATACGGCGCTAAATGAGAAGTTGGAACAGTTATCGTGGCGAAATGCTTGCAGTTGATCTCATTTCTCATCCTAGTCATTCTCTGCCTTAATCTCGTTGCTTGAAAGCTACATTGTTGTAAACATGACTGGAGATTATAAAAAAATTTGCAAGAAAAGTGTGTGGAATACACAGGTTTTTTATTTATATAAAGATCCCATTTCTTCAATATCCATCCAGGTTGATTTTTCAAGTGGACGCAATCATTTAGAACTAATTGAATGGCGTAAAAAGTATTGGAACTTACGACAACCTTAATGAATATTGCTTACCCACATAGAACGTTCAAATGTGCGCTATCTTTATTTCTTATACCATGTAGGACTAATCAGTGGATCCCAGTTGGTGACCCGTGAAGGCAACGGACCACTATTTTTAATGAAGGAAAAAATTGACTTTATTTTTTAAAAAAATTGACTCCTTTCTGTGTTGTTACGGCTTTGTTCCCATTTTCCTTCTTTTTATATTATAATGTTACTCTAAATTCTGCTAAATACGTCAAAGTTTCGATTAAAATTAATTTTCAAATTAACCTTGTGATCACTGTTACAAATAAAAAAGGCAAAGTGGTACCTAATCAAGAAAAGAGTGGGAACTACTACCCTAAATTCTTACGGTGTTCTTATTTCTTTATTGGGAAGGATGAGTAAGGTGTTTATTCTGAGCTCTGCAACAGTTTTCGTTTAAGGTTTTACATCACTGCAACTTTTCACTTCGTCAAGAATGATTTTATATTGTGTAATATCGTAATGAATATAATTCGAAAACATTCTGTGCAAAACATAAAGGGTCAACTCGATGACATCGGTAAATTCATCGCGTCAACCTGAAATTTCCTTGAATATGCTTATTACAATCTTTGAGCAAGAAATCCACAAATCGATGCTCTGATTGATTCTAAGTGGTGGGTTAGGTAATATCGAATACAATGTTCAGTCTATTATGAAATGCAAATTAGTTTGAAAGGTTTTAAGTCATTTTTCCCACGCCGATGAGGATAGGTTTACTTTCGATGCAGGTGCGCATTGTTTGGTTTGTTCACATTGAACTACTGCGTTTCAAGAATTGTCAAGTTCCGTTCATGATTTTTGCGGTTTGGTACTTCAGTGACAAACTTGATCTTGAATGATGCAACGGCCTTTTCCACGTTTTTTAGGATGTTAATAAACGTATTGCGTAGGCCAAAGCAAAGAGCGCTCAAAAAGTTGGAAGAGCTGCATTTCGTTGCAGAAAACTGTCGACGATCAATTACTGGAGAAGAACCTCTTGTGGATAAACGTAAATTGTCACATTAACATTTTTGGACAGTTTCACGAAACTGTAATAAAATTTACTTTACAGACAAAGAATTTTGGATGAAATGTGGCATTTACTTTCCACCACTTTACCCAAGTCCAAAACCAACTCCTCGAAATGCTTATGAACGAATGTTCATTCATGGCACCAGGTTTCCGTTCAGAATTTTCTGTCAACTTCGCTTTATGATTTTTTTAAGAGTTTCCTCATAGCATTGGTATTTCTTTAGAGAGAACGATCTGTTGCGCATTGTATTCAGTTTCATTCTTTGTGAATTTGTTGGCGTTCTATTCTTCATTTCTATTGCTCTCAAATATTCTGTCTTCCCTAGTCGGTATTAATTTTTCTTTCTTCTTCATTATAATATCACTTGTTGCAGATGCAATATATCTTAAATACAGTTTTATAAAAGCTAGCTTTAGTGTCTTTAACTCATCTAAATCTGCTCAATGACAATTACAATGAGAATTAACAGGTCCATGTGACTGCTACATACATGTTCATTATAGATTAGGAGTACATGTGAGCATCGTTGTGCAATTAATATTGGGTCTTATGATTCCATTTCCGTCCATTCGAGGCATCATTCTGATTGCCACAACCAAGTTAACCACTAGTCAGCTTCGTTCTATCATTCTCATGTTTATGATAGTGTGGGCATTTCAAGTCAGTTTTTCTCTGTCAGCGGTTTTGTGCACTCCTTTCGGATGTTTGATTGCTATGTTTTGAATTTAAAAAAGATAAAACATTAAGGTTTTGATTGCTTGAATGATTTGATATGACGTGAATTGTTTTTGAGATGCGCAGAAATATATTAGTTGATGGGATGATAATTTCTTTCTTCTTGCAGATACCAGCAACTAACACAACTCGTAATTTGCAAATGCTCGCAGAATCTGTTGCTTGCGTGAGTAATTCGGCGATTCAAATTGGCAACAAAGTTGTCACTGAAATTAATATGCAGACTAATAAGGTTTCATTAATTTGTTCATAACGTCGGTATTATTCTTTGCGGACTATCAGGATATCACAGTTGCGAATAGAATACCGAAATTGCCGATGTGTTCCTTCTCGTAAATGTCTATCACGCTATGATGGATTTTAAAACATTTTTGAATTTTTTTCTGTTTCAGCTTTCGTTGTCAGAATTAAAAGAACAAGGTCGTTTTTTCGCAAAACATCTCAAAAATTTTCGAGATATCATGCGCAGATTGCAAAATATTGTCGTTAAGTAAGCTGAATTTTTTCATATCTGTTAGCTAATATTTTTTGAAAACTCTTCATCTGTTTCATCATCACCTTCCCCATAATCATCTGGATCTTCCATTTAGGTAACAAATTGAATTTTTCAAAAACACAATCTGCAATATCCACTTCAAAACAAAATAAAACCTTCCCAACACATTTTACCAGCAAAGACATTAGTCTCAACCCATTAGCTTAGTCTTTGACATTACTCGGCTATCCGGCTTATCCAGGCTTAATCTACTCAGTCCAAGTTAACTCTAAATATGAACATTTCACAGTGTATTCTTATATCTTTAAAAACAAAGAGCAAAAACTCCCTATCACCATCTGTCCCTAATGTTTCCAAGATTTAAAAATTGACAATCCTTCAGTAAGTGATCATCATAATTAGAAGAAAATTAAATATTGAAGATGTTACAGCCTGTAATTAGTGGAGAGTACATTATCGAAAGTTTTATTCATTACATATGCACTACAAATCAGTTGACTCACAAAAAAGCTGCACCATAACAAACTTCGGAAAGTTCATTGTATCAGGCAGACAACATATTTTGAATAAATTAACATGAAACCATGGCATCAATTACGAACCAAAACTTGATCCACATTTGGCGGTATCTGATCAAGAAAACGCGATCTCTGTGCGAACCATGCTTAAAATGGTTGATATCGCAGGAATTATGAAAAAAAAAAAGTGCTGTGAAGAGTGAACGATCTCCTAGTATAAAACATAATACTTTAAGGAAAAGGAGAGAAATAAACGTTTGCATATAAAAATAATGACATTTTTAGCAATATTTTTTGCCGATATTTGCTAATTAAAGAATTCCTTTGAGGTTTTATTTTAGGTTTGGTAAGCAGACAAAGGATTATTTAATGCAGCTGCTCACAGTTAAGGAGCATTGCCAACGATTCTTCATTGGCCCCTATTACTTTGTGCGTATTTATTATGTAAGGTCATTAAAAGCAAACAGTGTCATTATTTTTAAGACAAAGAAGAGTTCAGAAAAAAATCAGCGTTTAATTTTTGCACTGAATGTGAACATTCTCCTTCAAAAATGCATTTTTCAGTGTCTTCGAATTTTTGATGACAGTGCTCAATATTGTGATCGGCTTTCTCTGTATCGCAGATTACCAGTTTGTAAATTCGTAAAGGATATGAGAGTGGTCGTCCTTTCTTGCAATGTTTTTTATCATTAATGTTTCAAAACACCTATATACATCTAGCAAGGGGTGGTAAGCGTGCCTTAGAAGGGACTATTTCACATTACGGAATCCCAAGTACATGTTTTGCGCATGTTGAAAACAATGAAAAACATGAAAAGCCAAAAGATTTTGATTTTAATGGTTTAGTATATTCATGCTTCAGATTTGTGATGCGGCACGATTTGGTGAGTTGGTTTGTGATATCCCAGAGAAGATAAAGGAAAGTCTGAAGTCTGGCTTTCTAACATTCACGAAGGATAAAATGAAAGCCGCCATGAACGTTGTTATGAACGATTACAATATCAGTTTCTTTGCAGTTCGTAATTTAAGCACCTAATTTATGATCTATAACTTTTTAAAAAACATTATATAGCATACTTATACTCTACGGGAGTGCTGGAACTGTATGAAATATTTATTGTAATATTTAAACACGGAAAAATAATCCATTTTAATAAGATTGCTGATATATTTTTGGGTTTATCCTTCAACATAACTGATTAAATGTGACGATGATATTTCACAACTTGTTTTACAGAAAGAAGCCAAAGCGGTAAAAAAATCCTGGAATGAATTTGGGATTTCGCTGAATCATACTATTGCAGGCAATTGTACACAAACATTCCAATTGGAAAAAATGAAGTAAGGACGTAGATTACATATGTGATTACTTCTTGTTTAGCTCAAATTCAATATCTCTATTGTTACTTAATTTAGGGAAGAATTAGAAAGAATCCTGAATCAGTTCAAGGTTTTTGTGGATATTTTGTCTACAACAATTAGCTTCATTATCCCAAATTTGGTCATTGTAACGTTCCTTATGGTAACCATCTACTCATCACATACTGTTTTTTTTGGGACTTCTTTGAAATGCATTACATTACACTATCAAAAATCTCAATGAAAGAAAATCAGAAAAACTATTTGTTCCTCAATTTGTTTACCAGGCATTAGTGTATGTTATGAAATATAAGCAGAAGGAAAAAGCGGATAACGTCTACATAACGGAAGAGTTTCGAAATGTTGATATGGTGCGGGAGGCACAAGGACAGCCGTCTTTACTTCCACTATTACTCAAAGAACGAGAAACGGTTAGTTTACTTGTGTGATCCTTATTTTGCACTTCAATTTCGACAATATAAAATTTCGGCTTGTAGTTATTGCATTAATGAAAATCTCCAACTTATTTGCAGTTAGGAGAAATCGATGATTTAAGCATAAAAAGGTAAAAAAAAACTTCTGGAGGAGTGAATAATTAAATTGAGATTAAAGGATACAAAAATTACGTAAACTGTACAGTTTATTACAGTATATTGAAGGATTCACGCTGCATATGACATCAAAGGAGAAAATGAGAATGCTGTTTGCATTTGCGATCACATTAATTGGCGGTTTCACGCCTGTTTTTTTAATATTGTTGGATATATTCACCTATCAAATTCTTTATTTCACTTATTCATCCGTGCAATCTAACAGAACTCGCACAGATCGACTTGATTTCTATAACCTCAAAGTATGTCATTCTTCTCTTTGTCCTGTGCTTCCCGTATCTTAAATCATTTTATTTTCTAGGCTGCTGGAGAAGGCTTTGTGGCGAAACTCCTGCAAAGAATTCTTCACATATTTTATCCAATAACAGGAAGTCAATATAGTGATGATGATTGGAGACAATGTTTTGCTGAGCCGAGTCCACCCGATTTTCAGCTGACTCGGCTAATGATGCTCTTGTATTTAATTGCTTTTTTACTGTGCATTTTGCAGGTAAAAATTGTTCAAACGACCCACAACTTATGCAACTCTTTTAGCACAGATTTTTTAGGAACAATGACAGAAACTGTGGGTGCTAGCATTAGGTTAATAATACCAAATTACGGGTAAAAATTGAAAAAAAAATTGATAAGGTTTAATTAATTAAAATCATGTAGACATGTATAGTGAGGGTTGCCGATTCTTAGGTGTACGTAGTAAGATGTCGACATTTGATTGCGCAGTATTATTGGCCGGAAAGAACAAAACCACGCACTTTATGGTTGTATAATCAACTTCTTGAAGGTCGCAAAAATATCCTGACACAACTGGTAAAAGCTGCCAAGGAAAAGGTTTGCTTCTCATTTCTACACTCATAAAAAGAATGTTTGACGAGCTAAGAACTTGATTTAAGGAACTCAAAGATCAGTTGGTTGAAGATGAAATTAGCGGACGAGGAAATCTTGTAAATCGTGGCTTGACGGTATTGAATGTTGATCAGTACAAATGTACAAGATGTTTTCGATCAGATCTCAGTATCGCCGATGCAAGGTTATTGACTCATAATGAATCGAAATTAACGACTTCTATAGGGGATAACTATGAAAAAAGATTTATTAAGACATGAAATGCCTAAAGTCTTAAGCTTCCACATATCACGGATTTCAAAGGTGAATATAGATTTAAGATCAATTTTTTATTGTATTCGATTTTAGGTTTTTTAATTGGATTTTAGTATCTCTCTAATGTAAATGCTGTTGAGAACGATAAAAAATGGAAATAAAGATGATATGAAAAAAGAAACCAGTGTGAAGAAACAGTTCCTACTTGAAAAATGCACTTGGCATGCAGAACACGATGGTGACATTCATTATGTATTACAATTTCAGCAACTCAAGAATATGTCCTAATTGCAACAATTTATATTGCACTGACTGTTATGCTGTGAAGAATAAATGCTTAGAATGTGGCGCAAGCTTACAGGTCAGTGGAATACGTATGTGGCTTTTTGTCTCTCATCCAAATCTCATGTCATTTATTTTGGACCATTTCAAAATATTCTCGTTTTGCTTTGTTACAGTCCTTTCATAAAAGAAGTGTATAGAACGACTTGTGAAATTCCGATTACTGAAATGTAATTAACTTTTAGAATGATTTCTTGAGAATAAGCTGTTCGTGTTCAGTTATTTGTATTTTGTGCGGAACATATTCCAGGCAGTATTGAACGAAACTGAATTTTATATAGATAGCAGTTGCGAAGAGGATGAATCTTAAGGGCATTGGTACGGATGATACATTTTTTTATTTACTTTTCCTTGTTTCCCTGTTAGCACTTTTTCTTCATAGCCAGTGATATTTTGTAGTTCTTTTGTAAAGATATTTCATTGCAGGAACACCGGCAATTCCGTCTTTAGTATAGCTCCTGGATATATTTAATGTATGAAGGAAAGAATTTATATAAAAAGCTCCATCTCAGCATGTTATTTATCCTTTATCAATAAATCTAATATTATTTATTGATCCCACTATTGAATCTGTACTGTTAAAAAGGAGTGAAATATTGCATTTAGCAAATAGACGTTTCCATACACATATCTATGTACCTTTTGGTGGTTGCTCAAGGATATAACAAAGTGCTGAAGTGAGTTTTCTATTTCACATTGTGGAAAAACTTTCGTGTAAATGTTGGATGAGAACGTACATTTCAACTTGAGCAGACGGTTTCTGATTCCATATGCTTCTGCTCTTCGACGTGCTTTAGATGGATTCATATGGATGGCATTCTCACGTTACACTAAGTGGAATTTAAAATCCAAATATACTGATTTTGAGGAGATTTTTGTATTTCAGGTGAGGATAGTATAAATGAGTTTTCAGGATACTGATTTTGAGGAGATTTTTGTATTTCAGGTGAGGATAGTATAAATGAGTTTTCAGGAATTTCTGCAATTGTCCCAGCCTATCCTTTTTAGGTATTATTAATCTCGTTGTGAATCGACTTTAAAATTGTCGAAATTCTGGCACTGCTCTCATTTGATGTGTTATAATTCTTATTTTGTTTTCACAATTTTCAATAGATATTGAACTTTTATGGTGAATTCTTGGCCGACAGTTCACATGTACAAAGAGGAACATTGAAACGGACCAATAAAAGTGCATTTCTCTTAAAATGTATCAGTTCATCAATACACTGAACAGAACAAATAACGCTACCACAGACAGCAAACAATAAGCAATCTGTTCTTATAGTTTCCTGAACGTTTTTTGTTATGTACCTGAGCGTGCGCGTAAATTTATGCGCGGACACAGGGCCTTATAGTACATTACACTGTTTCAATTGTTTAAGCATTTGTATAAAAAGGACCGCACTTTTCTGGAAACTACCTATGTGTTGTGTATGTACGTATGTCTGTATGTATATATATATATATATATATATGAATATATATATATATATATATAATGTATATATACGATCTAATCAAAATGTTCGTTCTTTATCGTCTTCGAAATCGATGCGTTCCATTCTTCAGAAGCAAAGACTATCTTTTAATTCTCTTACTGGATGGATGAGAAATGATGGTTTATATTATTGAAGAGTTTGTTTAGAAGGGATCTTTTGTTTCACTTTGATTCTTCGACACATTTACAATGAAGCCATTGGAAAATGCGTCTTCCAACATACGCATTTGATTAAAGAATAAACAGTTAATCTTTATTACCACTCATTCTACTTTTGTTTATAAATGTATGGTTTTTGGTATCTTCCGTTCCGCTCATCCATTCATTGCTCATGTAAAAATAAAATTTGATGTGCAAACTTCGAGAGATTGAAATTCGACATTGTTGTGTTATCATTTCAACACTACGTTCAGCTATGTATGGCGATTGCTGTTGCAGTTAGTAATCAGTGATACTCGAAATCTGAGCTCATTGGTTCTCATAGCCAAATCTTCCATAGAAAAATATGCCAAAGAAATCGACATGAAAAATGAATTCCTTCAGTTTCATTTTTGTTTTCATAAATTAATTGTTCCTTTCCCAACAGTATTTGAAGAAAATTTTCGCACTTTGGTTTGTATTAGTGACAAACTAACAGTTGAAATGCATCTTTTTTCATTGCATGTTGAAGAAAATGTTAGTTAAGAGATTTCCTGTTTCAGTTGCGAACATTAAACAATTGAGGTCAGCCAATGAGATTGCTTTCAACTCACATCAACTACCAGAACTGAATCAGTCCATCGGTATTGAATTAAGAATATCAGAGAATGGAAAAATGGACGATAAAATAGGCGTTGCAACGGTGAAAAGAAAAGAGACGGTGAATTATACGTAAATTAAATCGAGCACCGTAACTAGCACCACATTGAACATCGATTTGTTTGATGGGCATGATTATTTCAACAAAAATAAGTGGAAAATTAATCCACTTTCATTCAGCTCTTCTCTTTTCGCCTATAAAATTCTGTTAGCTTATTTGAATAAATATTACCGGCAATCAACAGCCACTCACTGAATAAAGTAATCCCGCCTGTAGGCTTCATTTCACATTTCGTTACGATCCTTTTTATTTGGTGGTTAAACTATAAAATGGAATGTTTACATGGACGCGGTAAAATATGGGATACTGATTGAGCATGTTGCGTCTTACACAGGATTCAATGTCAATTTTCCAGATGATACACCGAGGTATTGTTACTTTTTAACAGTCTCACAAATGCCTAGAAATCTTTTTGCATAAGCCTAACCAATTGTTTCTCATCAACTTACATTGCACGTACGGGTACGTACGCGTGATACACAGAATATGCCACCAATTCAATTGAGTATAACAGTGAAATTGAAAACAGTACTGGAGTACTTCCCTAAAAACAACTGCTTTCTATAATTTCATGCACAAAATTTATGACTCTGAAAAAGTTGTACTTTTCGAATCAAGGAAGAAGGTGGTAACATTTTTTAATACTCTTAACCTTTGCTTCATCGTTCTTCACTCTCTTCCTGTTTTACCTGTTCTTACTTACTCTTTATAATGTCATCAAAATATCGGAATGAGTCCTTTAGACAAATGAGACATTTCCCTTTATAATAGAACTCCTTTTGTCGATCCTAACAGCCTTATACTTCTGAAGAATTTCAAAATTATAGTATTAAGAGATGGGACATACTTTTTAGAATTTCTATTAGCATGAAAATGAACTTAACTCCAACTACCCTTTAGTTGGAGACGCTGTACAAGGTGAAAGGGACAAAGAAGATTGACGTGGTAGATATTGGGACATCGAAGTAACCATCTTAGGGATTTCACTTAACACTTCACACTTCCAAACATTCGGATGGAATTTGGAACTTTTTCATTCATTCAGCAAAACAGGAGAGCGAAAAGTTACAAAATGTATGAAAACAGGTGATAAAAGCCTCATTATGTACTTTGAATGGCATTTGTGAAAATGAATAGGATGAGATATTTTTGGAAAGTAAATACTATTAAAATTTTACTTCCTACTCTGCCATGAACTATTCAATTTAAGTTAGGCTTTATAGTTTCGGACTGAAAAATGTTTATTAGATTGCTTCTTTCAACTTCTTTTTCACTGGGTTGATAATTTCTAAGTAAAAATGAATAAGATAGAATCGGCTTTACAATTATTTAGTGATAGTAGTTTCAACGGTACAATTCTTTGTGTGAAAATAATTTCAGTATTCCTGAATTCATTAAGAAACACATAATCACAACTTCACTGAGGTTGTGATTACGTGTTTATTTGAGCTTGATTAAAAGACAAACTCAAAATCAAATTAGAAATGAAATAATTGAGTTTGACTTTTCTAAACATTTTGAGTTTGATTAGAAGTAATAATTCAAAATATAATCGCTTTAAGATACGTGAAACTATCAATGAAGAGTTTATTTTCTAAAGTTTTTAGATAAAATAATAGTCATAAAATTCAATTACTATAAAAAAAAATGCAAAACAAATGAAAGAAGCGGCTAATTACTGGGTTTGTGTGAATTTCGAGTCTTAATGTTTGGTCGCGAGGAAACCATTTCACTCTTGCAAATTCTAGTACGTGTAGTTGAGCACAACTACATCGTTAATAACTTCTTTTTGGAAATGATGAAATCTTTTGTAGCTTATAAAATTTTATTTAATCTCAATTTCGATCCTCACATTGAGTTCAACATCGTGTAAATTATTTCTGTGTGATTTGTTTTAATTTATCCATGAGGAAGTTTAGTCTTATTCCTTCCCCTAAACAGATACTTTATGCTTATGCAGTTATGCTATCACTATTATTTTGGGCATAAACAGAGCAGAACTTTAGAATGATTAAACTAAGAATATTGTATAATTTGTATTCTTATCATTACTATTTTCATTATTTTTTTTATTATCACTATTGTCATTAATTATTGCAACGTTTGCTTAATAATATGCAAGTAATTCCTTTTCATGATCCAAGACTTCTAACATTCCCACCTGTTTATATAACTGGATAGAGTTCTTGTACGAGTGGTAGGCAAAAATGTACTTTAAGTGGGACCCGAAAAGTGAGTGAGTGTACATTTGTCAAATGCATCGTGATCAGTCATACCACCGCCATGTCCTCCAAATACATCCAATTTTATACCTTTTTTCATTTTTCCAAAGAATTTCCTCTCGACACTTTTGTTGTTTTGTATTCTTTATTTGATAGAAACAAATTTTAATGAGTCGAAAAGATGAAGATCAAATACTTTTGGCGAATGAAAGCCTTGCAAATAAGTCCTTGGCGCTTTTAATCAGCGCATTTTTGACACTTTTGACCCTGTTGATCTCAGGACAGAAAGACAGGTGATTGGATGGATGAAAAGAGGAAACAAATTGATGATCGGAGAAATGGTAAGTGTCGAGAAAAAGCTGCGATTTCGAAAGCTATCATATTTCAAGTATTCGAGATAAAACTCTCCGCAGCAAAAATGAACTGATTAAAAAAAAAAGGGAAAAAGCTGGAACTCCTCTAAATGCGAAGTAACTGTTAGTTAACCATTTCATATTTCTTTTTATTCCTTTAACTACTTAAGTTGCCATGAAAAAAATGGGCTGATGTCAATATTTCCTTCTGGTTGCTGTTGAATAAGGATAATAAAATGACACCTCCATGCAAATATTATATATACTATCATAATATATAATAATTATCACAGGAAATCATCATCAATCATCAAATTTCTTATATTTTGCAATTTATGCAAAATTTATTTGGTTTATTCGTTGCGGGTATATTTGGAATCCAATTTATCTTATAGCATAAACTTGGGCTACAAATTATATAATGCAGATATTTGGCCAAATATAGCGCTAGCTATATTCCAGCCTAGCTGCATGGATACGTTTTCTAGATACCAAAAACAGATAAATATTTTGTTGAGAAAGCAAATTTCTGGGATGTTAAATTGTTTGGAAACATTGTATAAAATTAATCAGCTGCATCATTTGGAAGACAGTTTTCGATAAATGGATGAATTTCATAAGATAAATAGGATTATTAATTTGTAGGTTTATTATTTCGAAAAAACGGTAAAGTCATTTTATCTTAGTCTTACATTTCTCTTTTATATTTTTGTATAAATCATTTAGGCACATTTCTCTCTTCATTTAATTAATTGTTTATCTCTGCTTAATAGCTCGATAAAGTGCTTCTGCTTCTGTATATGTAAAAAGCAAAAAAAGAAAGCGTATTTCACGCTGTATAAAAATTGCAATCTCATGTTTCAGTCAAACATCATTCTGAAGTTACCATATGCATGCATGTGCAATATGCACATTTTACATACATGAGTTTTTTGAAGTTCTATGATTAATTCGTAACCAATTGTATAAAGATTTGCGGAGACATTTGTATAACAATAATGTGATACGATGGTATGCCAGTATTGCTGAAACGAAAAAAATCAGTTTTTACCATAATTTACAGATACTATCCCTCCGAACTTCAAAATGTTTCAAAATCCAATTGTCATGAAGTCATTCTTCGTTGATTGATTTAGCTGCAGCTTAAAACTTTATTTTGGATTATTTGAGATGCAATACCTCTAAATTTAATCTCAGAAGATTTTTGGTTTAACTTTAAAAGTTAATTTTATAATGCTTAATTTTCTAAAATTGGTCCATCTCTCACTGTTGCTTTTTATTCGCACAGTCAAGAATTTACAATTTAAAATTAGTTAGAAAATATATTGTAATACTTTTATTTTTCCCATAGTTCTTTACAACGAAGTTTTTCCATTCTATCTATTAGAACTTCTTTCTCCATCATAAATTGGTCGCAATTTGGATTTATCCGTCCATCATTCTCTGTAATTCAATTAGTTGCACTTTACCAATTCGAAAAACTTCTTATTGTGAAATTCGCAGTCATATAGAAGGAATGAAACTACCATATTCGGGAATCTCTTCCGAACTCCGAAAATCACACTTTGTTTATTATAATAAATAATTCTCAAATTTTTTAAGATCTTCGGAGGCCACTTACTTATACATGTAAAATTTTGTTTATTCAATAAAAGGGCAGAACTAAGTGGAATTTATATTTCCTGAAGTTAATAAAATTTCTGCTTCCCCTTTCCATTCTGTTAATTATTCTTCAATCTTAAAGATGTTTTGAGTATTTTATTACATCTACTCAACTCACTTATGCATAACTTACCACGTGTCTATATTACTACTGTGAATTTTCTTCGTTCTTTTTGTCCTGAATATTGTGAAATTAAATAAATTTCAATTTCTAATTTCTCATGCCTCAAAAAACTTCAATCTCTTCGAGATGCGGCAGATTTTATTGAGCGTACTAGGATGAATAGTCATTACAACATACTCCGAGACTGGAAATGGACCATGATTTGTTAAATGACACAAGCAGGGGAGAAGTTAAGTGAGAATTTAAGCATCTAAATATTAAGTGAGAAATTAAACATGTAAGGTCATGCCGGTGAAGATGAAAACATCAGTGGGAAAAGTGACAGGCTGATAAATTAAGTGTAAGAAAAGACGGAAGAACTCACCGGATTAAAACAATTTAAATTTAGCTCTTAAAAAAAAGATGTGAATTTTAATTTACCAATTTTTTTTCTCCTTATCAATGTAGAGGATTTAATTTCTGCAGCTAAAGTGTTAGTCAACCAATTAAAGTTTGTTCTATTAGAATTGTTTCGCTGAATTAAAGTACAAAAGTTCATAGATCAATTGCGCTTAAAGTAACAATATGTGTGGACGAAGAGGAACGAACTCCCTTGAAAAACTTCGACCGATTGACTTTTGGCAATTATTCGAAAAATTTGTTTATTTAAAAAAATAACCGACATGGTATAATGGAAGAGATGGATTGGTTAAAATGCATAAATGGTGGAATGTATGGGGACAATGCGGGGGAAGCAATGGGACAGATGATGATGATATGCGTACTGGTTTGGTTCATTGTTATATATAATACGGTTCGAATGGGTAGACGAAAGAGAGATGGGGGAAGGGGTGGACTAGAGGGGTACTGTACCTTTTACATATTGCGATGATAGGATAGGGCGAGGGCAGGGCTCTTAAACTATTGTTGATGATGGTGATGGCAGTTCATATAAAGGAACACCTTAAATGATCAAAACATACTTTTTGTATTGTTTAAAATCTTTGAGGGTAACGACGACAGCGGACAAATCAACTGGAAAATGTCACTGGAAAGAATAAACGATGGAACTAATCAACGAACCGGTCGTTTCTTTTAATCCTTTAGTCATCCTTCTTTGAAGATACACTGCCGGAATCTGTTTTACAACATCGAACTGTTAAGGCAAATATGTTTAAGAGACTCTCTTTATGCTTCCAAAAAATTTATTCACTACTTTTTATCCTGTTCTAGAAAGTTCATATTTAATAATGACCAAAGTATAGTTCCATCTCATCAACCAAAGTATCGTACTAAGATTCGATCTTCCTTCGAAAGTTCTGTTTTTTCCGTTTCATCGAAAATTATCTTCGAATTCACCCAGCTTTTCCAAAGTCATCGTAACATGTGTAGGAGCTCTGTGTTTAACTTGTCAGTTTACTGCTTACCTAAAACAGTTGTGTCATTAATACTTGTCATATATTTGTGAAGTTTAATTTTTAAGCAGAAATTTCAAGGTTACGTGGATTTTATTTTGTCACTATATTTGAATTTGCACTTTTCTGATTATTATCTCAGTCAGGTTTCTAGAATAAAAACTGTTTCCTCTGCAGAAAAACTTGAAATTTTGATCATCTCTCAAGTGACTAAGGAATACAAGGAAGAAATAATAATTTGGATCAAGTTGTTTGAATTTATGCTATCAAAAAGCATCTTGAAGGATAATAAGCAGCGTTAGAATGTCTTGTGTTTTTTATATGCTGAAGCACGTACCACCCAACAAAACAGTAAATTTATTTTTAGTTATATTCAATCTGATTTGAAAACTAACTCCATGGGCTATTGAAATTAAAAAAGTGCTTCAGCATATAAAAAACATACAATATTTAAGATTTTGGCCTTAAATTAAGAATTAAAAAAATTAAGAATTAAACTTAAATTAAGAATTAAACTTAAATTAAGAATTAAATTAAGAAATATATACAAGATTTGGCCTTAAATTTTAATCTGTTTCTAGTTCCAGAAGACTAGAAACCAATTGTCTTACAATTAGAAACCAATTATCTTATCATCCAACTTTTTAATCAGTTTTTTTTTTGTTAGAATAACATTATGATAAAAACATAAATCAACTATTGTTTTTAAGTGACATTTCTTGATACTTTACTAATCTTTCACTTCCTTTCTGAAGCAAAACATGAAAATCATCCCATAATCTTTCATCTTGCCTTAATTACAGGACTAGAAGTTCAAGTGCGTTGCATTATCGTACATTTATCACTGTTGTATTACTTTTCAAAAATGCTAATCTACATGGATTTTATATGAAGAAATGAAACTAATATGAAACTAGAATTAAGATTAAAATTCAGCGATGATTGGTCAGCAGAGTGCTATGCGAGCATTCGTGAAAAAAATTTGTAAATTAATATTCGTCCCATTTAAATTATGCATTATTACATAATAAAACATTTTGATAGCATTTCACTGGTTAAATTAGTTCTCTGTTGATGAACATTTTTAGGGCCTAAAAATACGTTATGCTACATGCCTCATTGCGGATCAGAAAGAAATTCTCAACGCAACAAATTCTATGCTATGATTAGAAATTATTGATGTCCTGAAGGCTTAGGAATGTGAATTTTTTTCATTTCTCATAGTATACTCCTTTTTAAAGTACTATACTATGTGAAGTGGAAATTACCGAAAGTTATTTTAAAAAATATATAAACTTCAAATCGATTTTGGAAAGATAGCGAATGAGTTTTAGTGTTGGAAAGGAAAATTATTTTCATACATTTATTTTAGTATACGTTAGTATATTTTAGTATATTTTATTAACAATAAACTTGGTAAATTTACTTACAGCATTGCAATCCGAATATTCATTTTGGGAAACTTCATGTTTGATAGCATTGACTATTAACTAAATGACAACAATATTTTATCATTGACATTTTGCTATAGCTGTGAAATTTTAAAACGAGGAAGATTTTGAAACGCTGAAGTTTTAAACTACCTGAAAGTAATTTTTGCCGTGCTTTTACATATTTTTTCTTTTAATCTTCTGAAGCATTAATTCTTCTGAAGCATTAAATTTTTCTGAAACCATTAAAAAAAATTCTGAAGCATTATTTATGAATTTAGGGAACATCCTATGTAAAAAACTTTACAGAACTGTAAAATTTCTCGCCAATTATCCGGATATTTAGGATACGAATGATTGATTATAACTGATAATTTAGCAAACTCTAACTTGATTATGTCTCGAAACATTTGAATAATGTACCAGGGAACATTGGATTATTTTGAAATAACTAATAGAGAGAGTGACAAGTTTGAAAATTGACTACATTATCTTCGCATAATTCTATAACCAATACTTTGTTGTGCACTGTACACTACAACATCTGCTGTGAACTTACGAATATCTACTGTTTAATGGAAACTTAATTCGAGTTTCGTATTCAACCCACACTTCCACTAACGTTCAGTTCTCATTTTCTCCATTCATCGCCTTAAAAATAGCTTATAATTCTTTTAGAGTAGAATAATCTTGCGGTAGTTTAGCATGTGCTTCAGTAAACCATGTCCAATGTAGTACAAAGCGTTTCTGCTCATTTCCAGACATGAATTATCGAGATGATAAGAGAACTTTTGAAACGACTTTGTTATACAGTAATAGGAGATGAATTTGTTTAGTTTCATTGAAAACTTCACTTGCTCACTTGTCGAGGAAGAGAAATCTTCTCTACCAACTGCTAATGCAATAATTGAGAGTACCTTTGATAAGCCGGATATAATCTTTGACTTTATCAAATAATTTTTGTTTTCCAAACAGAAAACTGAAATATTCCGTCACCACCAAAAATTTACAGTAATTGCTCTTTAAAAAAAAAAAAAACGAATTGCTAATTAGATTGGTAATTGTTGGTCTTTAAAGTTGATCTTTGAAATGTGCTTTAAAATCTTAGCAGTCCTTTCATGTTTTGCGACAAATCTAAACCTTCGTAAATAAATCAAAATGGCAAACAGCAAGGAAATAGTCAAGAACTTTTCTGCGAATTCTTCTCGTCACATTTTTTTCAATGAAATAAAAATGCTATAAAGGTTTTTAAGCAGAATAAATAAACACCATGACGGCTTTAAAATTTGTTCGTTTCTTTAGACTTCCAATATAGTGAAGATGACGCGTCCTTTTCAATTTGAGGCTTTAGAAGAACTTTTGCAGTACTTAAAGGGCAACTACGTATTATAGACCTGGAATCTTAAATTGAAGTGCCTACTCACAAAAATAAATATTGCAGTTTCCACTACTAGAAAGTTAATACAGTCTTTACAGAGTTTGAGTGACACGTAGAAAGGGATTTATACAGGAGGCTTAAGGTGGAAACACTTCACTGTCAGTACTTGTGCAATTATTTTGAGAGTTGCAAAGTTCTAATTGAGTCATAAGTTTGCTATCTATTTTTCTGAGGATGATAAACTTTGACGGGAAAGTATTTGTTGAATCATTTGCCAATGACTCACTGGTGTACTTGACCAGAATGCACCGAGCCAGAAAAAGATGTGGGATAGGTATTGGGGACTTGGGCTCCATCCACTATCCCTATTCTCTTTTATAGATCTCAATACTCACAACTCTTGAACACATACACACGCACACACACACATACACATACACACACACACACACAAACATGTGGAAGAGGGAAGACCTACGAGTGAGTTGGCTCATTCGAACAACTAGTGCAGCTGTCCTTGTAAACTAGAACTGTGTAAAATATTTTGATAGTGTTAACGACGTCATTGAAATGGGAGCACTCACATAGGCACAGGTAGCGTTCTCTCCGGTTCTTTCCATTGGTCAAGCAGCCTGCTAGTTCAAGTCCGCTCCTTGTCTGTCTCTATTCCCAGGCACAACACTGTCACTACTTGATTAATGTCATCCTTCTTCCTTTCTCTTATTTGTGTAGCTGATATGACTCGCGATGTGCAATAGGTTCACAATGAGAGCCATCAGCAGCATTAGTAGCTTAGCTGCATGAGCGCAAAGTAATAATTTTGTTAAGAAATGGTAGGATAAGTCCAGTAAGTCTAACCTTTCACAGAAATAGTACTTTTTGTTGGTTCTTGAACTCACTTTAACCCCCGACGCTTCGTCAGTCTGAATTCAATAAAACTGAAAAGGATGAAGGAGTTTGGCAAGTCAAGGTTTTTTTAGTGAGAGATAAGCGATGAAAATTATAAGTAATGCTTATCATCGAAATCTGATAGAAAAAAACTTTGGAGAAATGATTTTATTTAGCCACTAGCCTCACAACATCTTTAGTAATTTCTTTTTTTATAATTATCATATGTGCAATATCTATTGATAATTATTTTAAAATTGCATGAATTCCAAAGTATTTCTTTACTATCTAAACAGCATTTCGTGCCTTTCATAATACAAACCTTTACATATCAGTAACATCCCCCTCTGTCATATTATATGGCGGTGAGAATAATGGTCTTTACCTTTTCATATATTTTTGCTTTATTGTAAACCATGATTAACGTTACTTTTATTGTTACCATCGGTATTATTACCTCATACTTTCATAATTTATTCTAATTTTTGCTATTAACTTTACTACCATTATTATTTCACACGAATTTTGGAGCTTGGCTTACAAAATTTTTACTCAGAAGTTAACAAAACTTAACTTATAGAATTTTCAATTAGATATTTGGGAAATGTTTTAGCTCCGTGTATTGATTCAATTCTTGAAAAGAACCATTTGTGAACTTCATTAATAACTCTAACTACGATGACTTACTTATATGGACTATTAGGTAGGTAATCAACCGAAAGCTTTAAAAGTTCATTGATTCGAGCTCAATCAACTACTTTATAGCTCCTCTAACCGCTGTTGCAAGTACTATCATTTATTATGGAATCATTATCAAGATTATTATTTTCATTTTTTCGCTAATACAGCCACAAGTTGACACATCGTTAGTTAGACTGGAGGATGATAATTGTGTGTTCATGCATGAACAGCTACTGTCATTACGCAACTTGTCATGATGAGATTGATAGAGGTGCTATCAATATCTATTATATTACTATCATGATAATTCCATCTTAGCTTACACAGCACATAAACTAATACTCTAAGTGCAGAGTGACGAGGCCTGGCTAATGCAAATTGTTGTCTCACTGCAATTTATTATATTTATTGCAATAACAGCATAAAAGCTGAGGATTTTTGCTCCTTCCTAATCACTTATAACTATTGTAACTGTGCATCAAATTGTAACTGTATATTTGCATTAAGATTTTCCACCCGTGTGCTTTCCGACTCCTGATTATGGCTAATCTTTCCTGTAAACTAATTCTCGCCGGAAGGTCTCTTACTTCTGAACTGCCGCAATATGCCAAATCCTAAATGTATAGAATAAGAAGTTAGATTATAACCAGTAAGTTAACATAATTTATTTAGAGATATCTAGCTTGTCTTCCATTTTCGCAAACATTGTAGGTAGATGCAAGGCCAGTTATATATATTGCCTGAGCTTGTCTGGGCTTTCCTGCTGTTGTTATCTGCCAAATATTCCAATTACTGATATCATTTTGGATATTTCTAGCATTAAGTAAATAGAGTGATAACAGCAAGTGAATGTTTTTGGAATATGCTTCAAGGAGAAGGAGAGAAAGGGAGAGAACATTTCAGTGTTAACACAATACTGATCATTCATCGACTTCTCCATATATTCGAAATGGTTTTTTTCCACAACATACATACACACACACACACACACACACACACACACACACACACACACACACACAACACACACATAAATGCAACTTTTATATCCGGCAGATGTGTTCTGCATCTGTCCTGAGAAGGATTCATTTAGACTATGTAGCAATATAAAATATATTAATCATATTTTCTAGAATATCAAAATGTCGAGTTTTTGGAACAGTGAAGCATTTTACAACACAATCTGTCTTACACTCTGGAAAATCCACAAATTATCTATCCATTTCCGGGAAAATCCAGAAAGATCGCTTTTCAATCGCATTTCTGAGGATTTCTATGCTATCCAAAATGCTATTTGCATTTTCATCACTTACTTTATGAACTTCATTTACCTCATTGTCTCACCATAAAAGGCCTGTGCGGCAGCAGTTATTCTTTGCATCATCATATTCATTTAATTTTAGCAGGATAGGCTGAGATCATTAAATGAGTAAATTTTCAGTCAGCTGATAAATATCAAATTCACTATTTTCCTTTTAATGTCCATAGCTGTTGAGTGCTAAGTAATGTGTGAGGCAATAGAGATCAGTGCTCACTCATTAAGTGTATCTGTGAAGCATCTTTTTTAATGTTACAACTCATAGAAAGAGTAAATGGATTTGATTGTATAGACGTTATATACCGAATGTATTCGAATTTAAACATTCTTTTAAATCATATTTCAAATACGAAATTTGGATTATGCTTTTTAATAATTATGCAAAATCTAACAAAGGATGTTTATAGTAGCAGTGAAATATTTGTGAAATCTAAACATTTATCATGATGATAATGGACAATTAATTTCAAATAGAGCCTATTTCTTACTAATTTATTACTTTTACAATTTTTCTAACAAATTACAATTAGCATACGAATTTTTTAGGTCTACGGCAAAGTGCAAAATGCTTAGAAAATTCCAAGATTAAGACCAGCTGGTTGTTTAAAGATTTGGCCATTTGAATCACTTTTTAATTCTAAACTTCCACCGTCAATAAGCAAAATAAATGCATAGTGAAAAATCGGAGAAGATGGAGTTGAGATTCTTTCTTTTTTGAAATAAATTTTAATTCTCCATTCACTATGAACTCTCTTCTCTTTCCAAAAAAAAAAAAAAAAATTAGCAGATGAATCTCTTAATAACAGAGCTGAGGAGTAACTGCATTTTCGAGAGGAACAAATATGTACTCTTTCTTCTAGCTGACCACTCTAAATATGTACACAAAAAAGATCAAAGTGACACCAGTCTCCGGTCATTTTACAATACCTTCCAATGCTATGCAAAATTTATACCATAACAGAATCTCACTTTATTTTGGCTTATTGAAGAGCAAAGTCAGAAATATTGAGGGTAATTCACTATTCCACTTACAATAATTTTTTTCTTTTTAAATGGTAACAAATTTGATATTCTAATAAATAAGATCTTCTTTTGTATGGGCCACCATTAATATGATAGTAGAATACGTTGATCAAGCATCACTATCAATATTTGCATCATTTCTCTTATCTTCTAAAACTGATGAAATATTTCATTTTGTGCAATTAATGAAGATAGCAAAGAAAGGATTCCTTTTTTGAATATGAATTTATGTTAATTTTCTTGTTATAGGTTGGATTTTCATTTGTATGAATATGCTGAGAAGAATTGAGCCCAGCAATAGCTGGTTTGGATGCTGGATTCACGATGTGTGGATCATTTTTACAAGCACACTTATCTTCATTACCATTATTACAGTATGTATCACCAGTTTTTCACTTTCTTCCTATTCTTTATGGCGACAGATGAGGAAACTTAAGCTTCTCAGCTGAACCTTGTTATTCCTCATGTTTAAAATATCATACAAACGAATCATCCTTTCGTCTCCATCAATTTTTTTTGTCGATTCAATTCTTCTTTTTGCTGAATAAATGATGTCGCGTTGATATATGTTGTTGCAATAACAGTGTGAATTATTATTTAGGGACGATATGGGAGATCCTGAAAATAACATTGATTTTCCCACATCTCACTTTCAGGGAGTGGTGATATAGCCTTCTTTTTGGTTTTCTTCACTTGGTCATTTCAAAAACACATACAATAACCTTGCCTACAACTTGTCTTTATGAAGACTTCTTTTTCAAAAAAGAGTTTCTTTGGTATGTTGTCCAGATCATAAAGATATTCCGGTAAACCGTGAGTTTCTGACTTGTTTTTTTTTTTTCTTTGCTGAGCAAAAAAAAACGCATGGTTCTCTGGTTTCAGCTTTATTTTGAGAATAAACATGTTCATATTCCTTCAATGAATTCCTAACTATTCCTCACAATTCTACATATGAAGCTTAAAAACTTAAAAAAATCAACTGCTTTGGCAAATTTTGTTGACTTCTTTGTCTTTTTACCATGGATGTGATAGCTTGGACAAAAAATTACAATGAGGAATCGGATGGACAATTGCTGCTTTTAGTAACTTCATGCTATCAATCTGTTCCCAAGCAAAAATTAGTGGTAGTAGTGACACAGACTTGAAGATAATTGAAAACTGGAGCTGAGATACACATAATGTTCTAGAGAATAAGATTGAATATTGTGCTGCACATGAACTTAGTCGATATGTTCGACATGCTAGTTGTGCCAAAAGATCTTTTGCTAGCTCCATGAACTAGTAAAGTCTTCATGCAATACGATCTTCCGCTGGCCTATGTAATACAATTATGTAGCATTATTACCTGTACTTCTACTTGTTTCATATTTGCGATAATGCATATCGAATATTATTCCGAGCTAATAGTTGCCTTTTATTGCATAACATAACAATTATTTTTGTTTTCTGACATTTTTTTTTCTATTTCTCAGAAAAATTTATGTGAAAATGATGATGATCTTGTAATCGTATTTGACATACAGCTTGAATTGTTGATTATTGATTGATTTTTTAGGAATTATAACAGATTATTATCACAAATAAGCTATATCAGACTAAACCACTCTATTTAGACTTTTGATTTTTTTTTTTATTTAGTAAAGGATGCATCTTTTTTTTCTGAACTGATTATTATTAAGCCATGCATGCTTTAATTGAAAGAAAAAATGTAATTATTTCATTGGTTTTCGAAATAGCAATGCCATGTGAGGTCGAGGAAATAAAAAGAATATGAGTTAAGAAAGGGAAAAGGAAACGAAGTGGAGAATAAGTAAATGAGATGGTTAGAAAAATAAACTTCATCCCCCATCACTCAAACAGTACTCTTCATCAGTTTGACTAACTGAATACAGAATTCTTTTTAAGTCTAGAAATGTACTTTTTCATTCCTCAGTTTATATTCGTTGCATTCATTCTAAAACGAACGATTTGTATTTTGTTACTTTCAACTTCACTTTTCATTTTACATATTATCTATCATTTTCTTCAACCGGTGAAGGACGTCACCAATGGTCAGCTTATTAATTCACTCTTCTTTTAGGCTATTCTATTATTCCTTTTCACAAACATATTTCTATCAGTGTTCGAATCATTCAGAAAACTCTCTACGTCTTTTTTCGAAGCTAATATAAAAAAGCGAAAATATCAGTTTATTGAGACTGACAATTTAAAGCGCTGTGTGAAGTTTTCAGAAGGGAAGCTGGCAATTAACACTGTTTTATAAACTGTTTGCATTTTTAGGTAGTTGCCATAGAAGAAGGAATGGAATCAGTTTTAAACTGAAACAGGAGAGTGGTCGGTAGTTCATGGTATTTCTTAATAGAATTTTATAAATCGTTTAGCCAACCCTATTCAAACGAATAGCATAAAAAAAGAACTTACTCTGCATCACCGAAATCCACAAGAAAATTCTACAACCACGAATTATTGAGCTACATGTAACTTTAATACATTTTCTTTTCCTCTAAAAAAATAATTGTTACAATTATAACCCCTAATACAAGGAAGTTTCGAAAAGTAATACAAGGAACAAGGAAGTTTCGGCAGTCCAGTAATTAATAATTTACAAATGTTGGAATATAATCCATTTGTAATTTAATTGCTTCAAATTTTTGTAAATCTGGTGAACCAACATCAATTTTGACTAACTCCTTCGATATTCTAAAATGAAGATCATCGATACACTAGAACTACCGGCAAATATTGTAGTCCTCAAAACGGCAAATCATGCAAAAGCGAGACATTTGAGATTATCTTGGACTATAAATGTAGTGATAGGTAGTGTTTCCGATAGTGAAATAACGAATAATTTTTACAAAGAGGAAAAGTTACTTTGCGAACAAATGCAATTATATTGGAAGGAATAAATTCCATAAAAAAGAAAAAACACATAATAGGAATCTGTAGGACAAGTATTAAAGACAATCACTTCTACCACCTTTCGGAAAAGGAAAAAAGTGCTGAAGGCGGGCAGAAGCAATTCTGAGGCAATAATTTGATTGATTCTGCATCATTTGCCAAACAGTCGCTTTTTACAAATTAGAGGAGTATGTGATTTACCAATGTAGTCAATTAAAACATAACGAGAAATGGTAGGTTTCTCCAAAGAATATCATGCAGAAATTCTGGAATTCTAGAATTCGACCATTTTTCCTTTTTTCCACTACTTTCTTCGTGTGGCACCATTTTTATTTGCAGATTGACCGGAAAACCTTCTGGAACATGTTATCTTTATTTAGAATGAATCAGCCCAAGCGCAATAAGTCCAGAAATTCATAAGTAATTTATGAAAATTTTTTGAGAAAAGTTTGATTTTTCATCTCTTCCTTAAAACAAAACAAATTTACATATTATTCAGCTCTATGTTTGATGACATTTGAGAATTTTTTGAAATGTTTGTTTCGAAAAATTAGGAAGAATTTTGCTTTGAACCATAAAAAAATTATAATTTTTGTTCTAAAATATTTGTTTTTGATGGGTAAGTACACATGAACAGCAGGAAAATGCCTCTTCAGTAGATCGTTAAGGCCGCAGAATTTTCAGTGCGGAAAAGTTTTTGTTTGGCGTATTTTGTTCCCTCTTTTATTCAATGGGAGCTTTAAACTTTCTAAAATTTTTTCTGTACAATGCAATGTCCCACAGGAAAAAAGTTATTTCTTAGAAAATCCCACATTTCACAAGTTCAACTTTCATCTTGTTTGCCTCCACCGAAATAACTGATTCTTTTCTTTTCAACCAATTATATACGAACTGTCCCGAAATATTTATTTGAACAGTACATTGCTTCCACGCAACAATCCTATTCCTTAGAATAATATTTAGACTTAAAAAGCTGGTTATTTTATAGAAGTCATTCGAAACACTCTTAATTACTAAAAATTTACGTAAACATAAATTCTCAACTGTGACGTGAAATGAATGAAAGCCCAGGTGCTAAATAAGCTTTAAGCTGTGACCTCTGCAAAAGAAAAAAAAAACATAGCATTTGTTGAAAAGAGATGCCATAGCAACATTACCCGCTTTTAGCAGGAATGATTTCTAGGAGCAAAGTACAGCTGCACTAAATGGCAGAAGTTTATGTAATTTTCTGCATCTCTCCCTCCCCTTCTTCATCCCACACAGAGAGGAAAGGCTTTATATATATATATATATATATATATATATATATTATTATATATAAATATATATTTTCATATATATATATATATCATATATAAACATGGAGAAGAACTGTGTTGCAAAGAGAGATGAGAGGGAGGAGAAAGATGCATGCAGAGAGTACGATTGCATCATATAAATAAAATCGATGCAGTTGGGCCGTTCATTTTGCTAAGGTCGTATTTTATTTATATGCTTAGTGTTAGCCAAGACAGGATTGGCCAGTTTTTATTAAGCATACTCTATCCATGTATAGTTAGAATGAGATGAGATTATGTGTAAATGCGAGAAGCCAAAAACTGAGGATGAAATGAAATGTGACGCTGTTATTGGTACTACTTTAGAATATGAAATATAAATTTGTATCATTTCATGTCCTTCAACTTTCCTATCACATATCTCTATATATGGCAACATTACCATCCATTGACAATTTCCTTTACAAAATACAAAATTGAATCTCTGTAATGTATGATATCTCAGACAATTTTTGCTTATGTAAATCTTTCTTTTGTGGAATCTTTGGAAACAGCGATATATATTATAATGTGACATCTGGAAAGTATGATGAAAATATTGGTAAAATTTCAAGCCTAAGAATGGAAATGGATCTGTTTTTTTTTTTCTGAAAATGTTGACACTGAAGGATTTGAATGATTTTTGAAAGAAAAGAGTGAAGAGATCGAAGAGAATCTATGGAGAAGCACAGTTTGATTTTTGGGCTTACCATAAGAAGCATTGATCTTAATTGTATTTAGAACTACTACAGCTGAATCATTTTTGATGATTCAAAAGGAATGCTGAAATATAACTAATAATTGGGAGAAAATAAGTTTGTCGATTTTTAAAATCTGATTTTGTAATTAAAATGAAGTAGATTTTGTGAAAATAAATTACCATAAAATGAATTTTCCATCAAAACAAGCATTGCTTACGACATTTGTTTTGATTACCTACATCCCTTTGATTTATGCCGCCAAGTACTACCAAAATTCACATATTTATCAAGTAGAAAAATCATTCAAATCACTGCAGTAACAGAGCAGTCAATTTTATTCACCGGATATATTAGAATATCAGCGTACTGATAGTATTCAATGCGTCGAAGGGGGTGATAGCATGACACAAGAAGCTGCAAACTGCTTTGCATAAACATTCTAAAGGATGGTCCATTTACACCGAAATACGGTTGAAGAAGATTCTTGCATATGTTTCGCATTAATTTCTCTATTGCTCAAACTTTGTTCCTTTATAGATTTTTCCAGTTTCTAAACTTACGATTCAGAATTTGCAATAGAAAAATCCATGTAATAAGCTTTCCCATCATTTAATTTCAATACTTTCATCAGAGATTATAAAGTGTTTTTTGTTCTTTTTTTTTAAAATATACGTTGGATATCTACTTTTTAAAAAGAGACATTATTTTGAAAAACAAATGTTTTTCAAAATAATCTTTCAGTTGGCGGTATACTTATAAGATTATTCAGATGTATGTGATCTTAATCATTTTCATCTTCAGTTTCACTAGAGAAATAAGAAATAATCCTTTTTAGCTTTTCTTCATAATACAGAGCAGATCTATAGAAAGTTTTTATCTTAAGTCAAATTTTGTTATGTTTGAATATTAAAATATAAGAGGCAATGTCAAAACTTCATTTTCAGATCAAAACATTTTGATTCGTCATTAATTATTGGAGGTTTTATATCTAATTCCAAAGCTCTAGAAGATGGATAAACTGTGAAAGCAAATGAATTGAAATTTATCAAAAGGAACCCGCTTGTCTGGATTAAAACAAAGGCATTATTTATTTTGAAGTATGGGTTGCGTAATGGGTATGACAAGATTGTCATTTTTTTCAGTGGGTATGACAAGTTTTCAATCCGAATTCACAGTACGTTTACCATTCGCCACCAGTGGAGGAATGGATAGCAAAGATCTGTTATCCTCTTCCATCAACACTTTTCGAGTTTTGGCTCTGCGTCGATTGCGCTTTTATTCTTGCGTTCTTGCTTTAGCATCCTTTCATGTAATATTTCAGTCTTTTATTTTTGTTTCCTTCATAATTTCATATCAATTTTGCGCTTTGCGCCCACAAATGATTTTTTGATGGGCGTTCTTGCTCGAATGATTTTGCTAATTGCTCGCTTTATTCACTCTTAAAGAAGAGAGTTTATTTTGGAGACGAAGTTGCTAAAATTCACAAATTAATCAGATTGAAAAGAGAATCGAAAAATATTGAAACAATATTGAAATAAACTTGCTGAACTCAAGAGTTTTGGGAAAGTGTCAAGTTAGCCTAATGGATAGAACATGCGATAAATGAATGCGCAAATATGACGACCCTATTCTACAGGAATTACTTTCCTCTAGAAATGCTATAAATAGATGATAATACATCAGATTTCTTCTAGCTTATTAGTTAATATTGCCCTTCCGACAAGTTTCGAAATGCATCTTAATTCCATACAATTGAAATAAGTTAAACAGTTTGAGAGTAATTGGCGCAAAGTGTACTTTTTGAAAGTCTCACAGGTATAATTGACATGTGTAAGTACATTTTAAAGATGGAGTTGTTAAAAGATCTATTTGCCGAGTTTAGAGTTTCAATGAGCGTCATGTCACTTTATTGCTAAATTGAAGACAGAAAGGAACTAAACATTTCCTTATCTTCTCCGCCCCTCCCAAAATTACCTGCCTGTCAATTATTTTATTTTATTTTATCACAAAAAAGATAAAAGTGTCCAGTAACATTTATGGGTCACCGTCGTTTTTCGAGAAATCTATTTAATGCGTATGTGTCTATATATACCGATAGCATAGCATGTTGTCATGTGTCACAACAGCGCTTTTAATGGTATACAAGAAGTGCATGATTCTGTCACCATATTGTTGCTAATTTCTCTGTTTGAAAATCGGATTACTAATTCTGCTCTTTTTTCTGTATAAAATAAGTCACTCATGAGCACTTTTTACTTCTGGCTTCGCTGGTAGTAGTAGTAGTAGTAGTAGTAGTAGTAGTAGTAGTAGTAGTAGTAGTAGTAGTAGTAGTAGTAGTAGTAGTAGTAGTAGTAGTAGTAGTAGTAGTAGTAGTAGTAGTAGTAGTAGTAGTAGTAGTAGTAGTAGT